AACAGTGTTCTATTGGTATGTCAGTTCTGCTGAACAGTGTTCTATTGGTAAGTCAGTTGTGCTGAACAGTGTTCTATTGGTATGTCAGTTCTGCTGAACGGTGTTCTATTGGTATGTCAGTCCTGCTGAACAGTGTTCTATTGGTATGTCAGTTCTGCTGAACAGTGTTCTATGGGTATGTCAGTTCTGCTGAACAGTGTTCTATTGGTATGTCAGTTCTGCTGAACAGTGTTCTATTGGTAAGTCAGTCCTGCTGAGCAGTGTTATATGGGTAAGTCAGTTCTGCTGAACAGTGTTCTATGGCTATGTCTGTTCTGCTGAACAGTGTTTTATTGGTATGTCAGTCTTGCTGAACAGTGTTCTATTGGTATGTCAGTTCTGCTGAACAGTGTTCTATTGGTAAGTCAGTTTGTCGCATACGACTTGTTTACCACTTCCGTGTGACTGAGAATGTTCTAGAACCGTACTGTGTCTGGGTGGAATTTTTAGAAGTTGGTTGAATAGGTAATAGGACAATGTAGGAGGCAATAGAAGGTAATGGAACATTCTAGAAATTTGTAGTAAGTTCCAGACTCATTATGTATGCTGATGTAATGGTCTATTTATAGACAGTGTGGGTTGTTGTTCAGCACTGTTGTTCAGCACTGAGATCAGATCGGAGATCTCGTTGAATTGTATTGGAGTTTAAGTATCTAGTTATTGGAGTAGTGGAGTTTTACCACGTTATTGTACTTGATGTTTGCAGAGTATAATAATACCAGTACCAGTTGAAACCTCATCTGTTGGCTCCATGTTCGTATTTTATCATCGTCCGCCAGGGAAGTCTTTTTGTTACTGTTGCCATTTTGGTATTTGAACCATCACACCTGTACTATACCAATTACGGTAATATTACGTTGCGTGTGACATCTGGGGGCTCGTCCGGGAACAGTGAAGACATATAGAAGACAACATGGCCAGCGAGATAAAAAATATGTCGAAACAAGAGTTGATGGAATGGGCGGATGAACTGGGAATGAC